TTCATGGTGTTGGTTAGCTAATTATGTGTAACATGTGTAACTGCTTATTTGTAGCTGCCTTCTATGATATTGCGTCCTGTATGTCTGACATACTGTGTGTCGACATGGCTAGGCGACATGTCGTGTGTCGTGTGATTGTTAATTGTCGCGATGTTGGTTGTCGAGGACCAAGCGGTCGACCTTGCTCTGTGATCGACTGTCGTCGGGTTATTGGTCGACCTTTGGGGGATTAGGTGTCCCATAGTACAGTGATCGACTGTTGTCGGGCTGTTGATTGACCTGTGGGGAATTAAGTATCCTACAGTACAGTTAGTATAATTTTTTCTTAAAAAAAAAATAAAAGTTAGAAAACTTACCCTAGTGTTCCTAGATTTATGGATGGATTTATGGAATGTAGGTGAAGTGTTAAATTATTATTTCAGTCCTCTTCCCTTCATATCGGTGAAGTTGTGTTCAAGTGCTCAAAGTTGCCACTACCACATCCCTCACAAACACCATTATGCAACTCAAAGGCCACCTTAACCTTACATAGGTCGACACTATTTCTCAAACTTAGTTATAATCAATTAGAGAATAATCGACTATTGTAGTCAAAATAAATTCTATATTTTAATAAATAATTTATCTTGCTTTTTCTATTAATTTTTCTTTTAGTAAAAAAAATTATATTTTAAAAATTATCTCACGTTCGTAGCCAATTATAATTTCGTAGTCAAAAATCTTGATAATTAATGTTAAAAATCAATTATGATTTTATATTTAAAAAGAATATTTTAAATACTAATAATTTAAATTAGTTATTATAATATCTAATTATTGTTTTATCTTTAAAATTGATTGATATTTAAAGATTGTTTTTGGTGATAACAATTTAATATGAATTTTGTTGGTAAGTAAGGTATCACACCTAAGAATGACATAATTAAAATTTAAGATTAAAATATAAAATTTTAGTGTGAATATGGTATAAATGGGTTCGAGGATTTTCAGTACTCATTATAAATATATAATACTTTTTGTTTGTAAAAGAAATTTACGTTTTCACTAAGTCAAAATCACTTCCTTAATAATTTTCTTTTTAGATTATTTTATAATCATTTTACACTTTTATTTTTTCAACTAATTTTTATTTTAAATTATTATTACCAATTAATAAATAATATATATATATATATATATATATATATATATATATATAAAAGGATCTATGTCATTAAGAATAATATTACACTAAGTCCAAAAGCATAATATTGGTTTTCAAAAACTTATAGAAAAATAAAATCAAATCGTCTGATCTTTAATATCATTATTGTCTTGCCACTGAATCTATAAGAATAACTTCACCTGCTCATACAATTGATGTAATCATCACAAACAAGAAAGACGACCAACTAAACAAATGGAGTTGAAAGGATAAGTACAAAAAAGAGACAACATTTATAGATAGATATTAAAACATATAAACATTCATATCTAGAAATCCTAAGACATGCAATCATTCATACTAGGCATGACCATCCATATACATGTATTGATATCAAGCCTTTGCGAGTTATGCACTTGTGTTGTGTAGGGAGGGTCAACACACACATAGGTCTCGACAATGGTAAGATATTGTCTGCTCTAGGTCAAGCTCTCACAAATTTGCTTTTGGTACAACTCCAAAAAGCTTTTTACCAATGGAGGTATCTTATGTGTATATAAACTCATGTCTATCTCCTGTTTTATTTGAAGTGAGACTTTTTGTTTGTATCTTAACAATCATCTCCTTCACTAAACATCTCTTAATCTCTTTCACAACCCATGGTCACACCACTGAGCATCTCTTGCTCTCTACCTCCCAAGATTCATCTAGTTGTCTGCCATTGGCCGTCTACCAAGGCTTCACCTTACCATGGAGGGGCATACTTGTCTGAGCCGGTCACTAAAATTAATCAGACTCTAAGGGAGGGTCAACACACACATAGGTCTCCACAATGGTAAGATATATTGTCCGCTCTGGGCCAAGCCCCCAAGGATTTGCTTTTGGTATCACTCCAAAATGTCTCTTACCAATAAAGATATCTTATGTGTATATATAAACTCATGTCTATATCGTGTTTTATCTTAAGTGGAACTTTTTGTTTGTATCCTAAAATATTGACCTCTGTTTCTATGTAGAGTCATTACCAATGAGTTTCATCCTACCATATATAAGGTTAGTACATTCCCGTCTTAGGCCAAGGTAAAGCCCCTATACTAGGACCTCCTACTTCTCTTATCACATATCCAACCCTTTCCTACTTGGAATTGAGTGGTTATTAGAGCGTTAGGATAACTTCCAATGCATAATCCATATATCAATACATACACTACTTAAATCATCACAAGAAATGTCTCCTTAAAATATCATCCACCACAACCACATAATTTTACAACCATGCTAACAATCCATATTCATATCAAACATACCTCATATCCATAGTAAAAAATTCTCAAACAACTTAAGGGAAATTAGAAAAGTCACAAAAATAGACATTGTCACTTATAATGCCTCTCAGCACTAGACTATTTACAAAAGGTGGTGCTTAGTGGCAAGTCCTACTACTTAACGCCATTTGTCATGCAAAAAGTCATGTTCAACGACGCACATCTTTCGCTCACCGAAAAGAAATTAAATAACTCCATACCTGTAGTGAAAATTAGCGCTCAATGGTGTCATGCCATCACCCAACACTAAAGCACTCACATTTTTTTGCATGCTCAGCGCTATAAGTCCAATGCTCAGCGGTCTAGAGCTAAAATGCTCTCAAACCTGTGCAAGGACCGCGCAACGCCAAACCATTCGCAAAAATGATCTCTCAAAGATGACAAGGGGTGTTCAACGGTTTGGAACAAAAGTGCTTCCAGACCTTCGCAGTCAAATTTGTGCTCAACGCCACACTAGTACCGCTCAACGCCATAACAAAAAACAACAATTTCAATTATGTGATTTGGAGAACCAAGAACCTGTTCATATGACCAATTTGTTATTCCTGACTTAGTGCTTGGTTCAAAAGTAGGTTTCAATGTTATAGTGTATACCAATATGCCCAAATGATCAAATGATCGGTCCCTTAGTTCAACACCAATTCAAACAAATTAGAAGTAACACACAACCAATGTAACATGTTCACATTACTCAACAATTCTACCACAAATATCAGAAATCAATCAACCTCAAACATATAATTCAACCATTTTCAAACATCTAAAATTCTAAAACAAGATAATTAGCTTCCATTACTTAATAAATGACCAAACAACTCCACAACAGAAATATGATCAATGTATATCGTTAGGACTACTGATCAATAAAGAGTCTTATAGAAGACTCAGGCCACACATGCAAGCTAGAACCACTCACATGCACAGAAAATGCACAAACAAACAAAAAGAGTAAAAATCAACATACTCTTTTGCAGAAACTGATCTGGTTGAGTTGAACCTCTCGTCTCAATGGTTACTTCGATAGTATCTTAAGGTTACAATTTTTAGGGATTAAAAAAGGTCTAAAGAATAAAGTTTAAAGAGATTATTTGATTTAAGATAATAAAACCATTTATAAAATTTTATTTATATTTAAAATATTTAATATTAAAATAATTGAGTCTCATTATTTAAAATATACTATCATAATTTTTTATACTATTACAAAAACAATTTTAATATTATATAAAAAAAAAATAAACTATTAACTTTACAAAATCAATCAAATATACTAATTTTTTTTTTATTAAACTAACCCACTTTATTTGTATTCTTTTTAAAATTATTTCAAATTATTTAAGTGAATACTCCGCATTTTTTTTAACTAAAAGAAGTTCTATGATTAATGACATTTGTACATTATAGTCAAGTCAACTCAACCCATTAGAAGGGTTCTTCTCTACAGTGAAGTTTGTTTTCTAGTACTCAATACACGCCATGTCATCCTAAAAAATTTTGCACCATCCAACTTCCCTACATTTTCTCTCATAGAAAGTGAAGGAGTGAACAACGGAAATTTTATCAAAGTGTAATGATTGAAGGGTGTTTTCTTCAAATTTTACTCTGTCTGTGACGTCATATTTTCAAGATTGCCCCACGTTGTCGATCACTCACCAGACATTTCTTAGTCAGAGTGGTCCTATATTCACACAGCAAAATTTATGACACTCATTTGATATCGTTTACGTGTCAATTTTAATATCATGTTTAACCAGTCAAAGACTGACATTTTCATTTTTTTCATTTTTTTACCATTTTATATTAAATTTTCTAATAGACAGATGTAAAATAAATATCTTTAATAAATATTATAAATAATATATATAAATGTTTAATTATTCATTTATTAATGGATATGAATATTAATATATTTGAACTATAAATATTCGTTATATTTTTATAATTATTAATGAATTTTATTTGAGTATTTTTTAATTTTAATGATTTAGATAAAATTAGTAATATTTATATATTTTTACTTTTTTCATTTATATTTTTAATATTGAAATTATTTTGTAAAAAATAATTTTTAAAATTTTTATTTTGTATAACTTATTTAAATTTATTTTTTAAAAAATTAAATATATTTGTATTAATATTTTATTAAATAATTTGATTTAAGTTATATTTAAAAATTATTTTTTTAGCTAAGTATATTTTAAAGATTTGCTTTTAAATAATTTTATTTAAAATTAAAATATATATATATATATAAAATATTTGTAAGTATCATGAATATAAAAAGATCATATGAATTTCGGACAAGTAAAAACAAATAACAGTTTTTTCAGATGGAGATAACAGATATACCCTGCCCTGCCGCAGACCGATTAACCCGTTATCTTCTCTGCTTATATCAACCTTTATGGTAATTTATAATAATATTATAATTGATGTAAACAAATTTTAAATTGTATTAAGACACATAAATAGTAATAAATTGATAAGTCATGAATAAATTTAAATTTCAAATGCTAGAAAGAAACATCAAGAAGATAACATATCACTCAAAATCTTGGAACAGAGCATATTTTCTGTGGGATTTGTTTTACAAAATGACAGTCTAATCATACACCACACAGAAATTACACTGTACATAATTTTTACCACCTCGTACACACATTAATCTTCAACCTAAGATCATGCAAAATACTAACAAAACCAACATCATTGCTTTGTCTTTCTTATCATATATTGTCTGATATTATGTTTAGTTTAGCAGATGACACAGGTATTAGGATTTTCATCGTAACTTGTGACATAGTAACTTTGACTATACTGTGGAGTCATCTGATAATAAAGTGGATAGTATGCTTCGTTGAGTTTTAGAGGAACAGCTAACTTTGCTGTCTCGTTCTTATCTTTCTCCTGTTTTGCTGGTCCAACCGAAACTATTTCAGTATGACACAACTTTCTTAGCTTCGACACTGCATTCACCGGATCAATCTCACCCAACAAGATCAATTTCATGTCTTTCACATCAACAGAAACCGATTCAATCCCTGCAGTTAAAATAATCATAAGCACTGGTTTTGTTCAAAAACATTTGGATACTTCGCACAGTACGATATTGACTCTGTTTTCTTGGAACAAAATCATTGTACCTGAAAGGCCAGATGCTGTCTGCATGGCTTTCTGCTTGATTCTATCACAATGCAAGTCCACCTTCAACACTACTTTCTGTCAAAGAACAAATCAAAGAACTATTAAGATTACTTGTAATTTTTGAACATGAAAAGAGAGGTATTTTTACATGCATGCAAAGAGAGTTTATTTCTGACCTTCATTGTTTTTAAAACTTGCTTCTGAGTGCTATATAAGGAAGATCTGTTTGGCTTATTGATGCCAAAGGGTTATAGAAGGTGTTTTTAGTTTTGTAAATGAAGTTGTGATGAAAATGGTTGAGATTGAATCATATTTATAGTAGCATATGGTGGGACTGAGAAACAAAGTGAAGTGGAGTTAACACTGGTCAAATGATAAAGTATAGTCTTTCTTCAAAAGTTTATATGGAACAATTCTTTTGTCCACACACGTTATAGTAACCGTGTTATCTTTATATTTGCAGCCTTTACCTACCAGTACCTTCAAAGAAGGTTCAGGTCAATGAAATCTTTACATCATAAAAGAGTGTAATAATTGAGCCTTTTTCTAAATAAAAAATATTCTTGGATACATCTAAATTTTTTTACATTCATTTAATATTATTCTTATTTATTTTTTTGAATAATTATATTATGACACACTTTTACATTCATTTAAGATAAAATATAAGGATAAAATAGTCATAAAAATCTGAACTTTTGTATTTTTTTAAGAAAGAAGAGAATAAAAAGTAAGTAAAATAATGTCAAATGAATGTAAAAATTTTATGTGTGTCAAATAATCATTTTTCTTATTTTTTTTTCTCTTTTATTTTTGAAAAAAATACAAAATTTTATATTTTTACGACCATTTTATCCTTATATTATGTGTTAAATGCTTGAAAAATATAAAATTTTATATTTTTATGATATTTTATCTTTATATTGTATTAAATGAATGTAAAAGCGTATCGTATTTTTTTTTTATTTTCATCTTTTCTAAAGCGTTTGAGAAACACTATTTGGTGCTTAGTGGTTGCAAAACAAAATAAACATTAAACAATGATGAAGTGATGATTGCTAAACTTTGGTGTTTGCTTCAGTTTCTGCAATGATGTCAACCTTTACTACTGTTAATTATCCATTAATAATTATTAATAAGTTTTGTTTAAATATTTTTTTAATTTAAATGATTAAAATAAAATTATTAGTAAGAAAATATTAATCATGAAAGAATAATTTAAAATTTGAATTCATTCATTTCTATTTTTATTTAGACTTATAAGATAAAGCTATTTTGTGAAAGATTATTTTTTAAAATTTATCACAACTCATTTAAATTTACATTTTAGAAAGACCAAATTTATTTGTATTATAATATTTTTATTAAGTAACTTGATTTAAATTGTATTTAAAAGTTAATATTTTAAACTAAATTCATATTTTAAAGATTTTTTAAAATAATTTTATTTAAATTTTAAAACAATAAAATATAAAAGCATGAACAAGTATCCGCGGTTACTTTCAAGTTAAAAAAAAATCTCACAGTTGGGACAAATTTTTTCAAGTAGGACAAGTAAATTCTATCGCAATATAAAATTTTTGTCTTATTTTCATATCATCAAGCGTGTATTATTTTTTTAATGTTTTGATATCACCTAATTATTTTTTATAAATAAAATATTATATTATCAAGTATTTAATATAAATAAAAATACATTATCATTTCTTTAAGGGTTAAATATGTTTTTAGTTCCTGAACTATTGGTCACTTCTGGTTTTCGTCCTCTTTCAAAGTAAGGTACAATTTGGTCCTCATTCTTTTCGAAAACATTCGTTTTAGTCCTCGAAAACTAACACCGTTTAAAAATTTGGTCCTCATTTAGCAACAAAATGAGGACTAAAACCAAAATTTCGAGGACTAAAAAGAACGTTTCGAAAAGAATGAGGACCAAATTGTATGTTACTTTGAAAGAGGGACGAAAACCCAGAAACGGCCAATAGTTTAGGGACTAAAAACATATTTAACCCTTTCTTTAATGTCAAATACTTAAAAAAAATACTATAATTATATAAATTTAAAATTAGAGTAATAAATAATTATTAGATAAAAGTGAAAAATTATCTAAAATATTTAACATTTACACATAATGAGAACAAAAATGTTTACTAATTTTGCAAATATTAATGAAACATAAAAGATAAAATTATAAAAATATTTCTAAAAAATTATGAAAAGAAAATAAATATTCAAGTTTTAAAATATTTCAAATGTCTCTTTACTTTCTTTTTTTTTAAATTCTAATGAAATCACTTCTCAAGGACTAATAAACATTACAGTATACCACTAGATCACACTTTAAAGAAAGATTAAACAAATAATAATGATTCAAATTTAAATACAGAAGATTTTTCATTTTTGAATTTCAATCGATATTGGATACTGGTAAACAAAATTCATGTAAATGAAATTAAATTATTATACTATAATAAATGTTTTTATATAACTATAGCGATAAATTTTTCTGATGAGAATACGTTAGAAAATAAAAATAATTATATTAAAAATTATCATAATAATATTCTACCTTATAAAAATTAACAACAAATAAAATTATTAAAAGGAAGTAAAAATGATCAAATTTGTGTTTTGGAAAATATTTAATACACTATTAGAAGGAATTGTATGTACAAAGGAAAAAAAATGTTTAATTAATGGTGTAATGAGACGTAAAGTATGTTGAATATGTGATAAACAACATATAACAAACTAATCAAACCATTGAAAAATAATGAAAATTTAGCAAAACAAATTCAAATGACATAAATTAAGTATGAAAAGGAATAAAGAAGATATGTTTTCTATATTACTCAGTAAATAAAGGATTTATGCAATTGAATATTAAATTCTTTTAAGACCTAAAATCTATTTGATTAATTGTAATTGAAAATACCTCATTTGAACATCACAAAGATCGTGACTAGAGAGAAACTACTACGTAAGTGAATTTTTTGAATATAGAACAAATCGAACAAATAGAAGAAAAAGAAAAAGTATATAAAAAAAGAAAAAAGATTAAAAACTAAAGACTAAATAAATAATATATATATATATATATATATATATATATATATATATAATGTATTTTAGGTTATTTAATAAACTATGAATATTTTAATAATTTAAACAAAATAAAAATATAGTGAAACATGTATGAAAACGAGACAAAATGTGAAAATACTCATCCCATCATCATATCCAATCATGCTTAGTGAATGCTGATGATGGTAGATCTTAAAAAAAAAATATTAGGAGAGTCAAATTTTTTTATAAGTGTATACTAATTTGAGGGGACTAAGGATATAAAATTTAATAAAATTAAAAAAAAATATTTTTTGCATATTTTTAATTATTTAAAAAAATATATTGGAGATGTCAAAACGCTCTTCTTTAACCATGAAGCTCCGTCACTAAATACGAGGATTTCCTATATCAAAATAGGAACGCGTTGGAACAATTTCCTCAAGTGGATTTATTTATCATTTCTATACAACACAAATATTTCCAATTAGGTAACATATATACACTATATACTAGACTTAAATTGGTTGTAACAATATTTCACAATTCTAAAAACAAATCAAATTAGTAGCTAAACAATAATTTTGATAAAAATACAATGCTATTAAAGTTTCTTTTAAGTTAAAAAAAATATAAAATTATTTAACAAATAGTAGTATCCACTTATTCTTAGACATTAACACAACCAATTTAACCAACTCGAAGCTTACCTACTATTTTTATTTTTTATTAATAAAAATATTTCTACTAGGTATTGTTAATAGATTATCCATTAATCAACACTAATAGAATCAATTTGTCAAACTTAAATTAACATAAACTATTTTTAACCTTTTTTTTTCAATTAATACAAAATATTAGTTGTTTCGGATGTAGAGTTGAGGTTCCTTACCCAAAACACTCTAAATTGTCTTGAAGATCGAATTGACTCTCTAACGGTCTTTCTTAACCCAAGCTACATTGTTTACTCTTCCTGCTCCTTGTTCAAGTCGTGCGGATGGATATATGTCAAAAGCACTCTAACACTCAAGTTAGTGATATGATTGATTGGTTAGCACAATAAGTTATGCATATTATGCGCATGATGATCTAAAGTCATACTTATGCTCGTTATTTATAGTAGTTGGGATGAACACTTATCTTTTTGTCAGCCTAATAATAGCACAATCACACCTTAATTTGCATTAAGAGCTTAATGCGTTATTACCGCTGATAATCTGACCATGTGGTGCCCGATCAATCACACTGTTTGGTCAAACTAGGCGGTATGAAGGAACTCAAACTTGAAGGACAATGGTCTGTATGGACGATCAGGGGTGGTCAACCTAGATGGACAACAAGGTAGTGCCAAATCCTACTATACGGTACACATGGGTGGATGACCAGGGTGGACGACCTGGTGGATAGCCAGGGTGAACGGTCAGGGTGGACAGTCTGGGTGTGGATGGCCTTGGTGAACGGCAGGGTGGTGTAAGATCCTACTGTATGATACACAAGGATGGACGACCTAGTGGACGGCCAGGGTGAATGGCTAGGGTGGACGGTCTGGGTGAAAGGCCTTGATGGATGACAAAGTGGTGCAAGATCCTACTGTATGGTACACAACCCCATCAAGCCCAAGCATGATACAATTTATGAAGGGGTTTTGAGTACACCATACCTAATCATTGAGAAGTTCTCTAGTTGATGTGCAAGGTTGAAATGGTTCACAAATGAACTTGCCATTCACCAAACTCTTATCCTCGTTAGTTGGACCAAGCGGCAGTGGTTCATGGATGAACTCGCCGTTCACCGACTCGAAGCAAGGTTGATAGTGGTTCACGAATGAACTCGTCGTTTACCGAATTGGCGTGAGGTTGATAGTGGTTCACGGATGAACTCGCCGTTCACCAACCTCTTATCCTTGTAGTTCTGAGCCAGCTGTTAATGTTGATAGTGTCGTGAGGCAATGCTGGTCGAGTACCTATGAGGCCAACTTGGCTCAGCAATTGAGGCCATTATAGGGCGAGAAGTTTTGAGGCCAAGGTTTGGTTGGGTACTTATGAGGTCATGTTGGTGGAGTGAGGCCATATTGGTTGAGTATCTGTGAGGCCATCTTGGTCGAATACCTATGAGGCCATCTTGGGCGAGAAGTTGAGACCATGATAAATCGAGCAGTTTTAAGGCCAAGGTTTGGCCAAGGTGAGGCCATGCAGCCGAGCTGAGGCCTTCTGGCTGAGGTAAGGC